ACATCAATGCTGACATTACCAGTACTGTTCTTTCATTCCTCCTGCCTTCCTGCTCCTCTGCCTCTCACAAAAAACAAATCAAGTCATTGGACTGTGATTTGGTTGGAGACTAAGTCAGCCAGTTAACATCTTTCTGTTTCAGTGGGATTGTGACATCAGAAGTAAATCAGGCAATAATTGTCTTCTCCCTCTTACTTTTTTCATCTTCTTCGCTCCTTTCCTGATATCTTGGTTTCATAATATTTAGTGCATTTATCTCATGAGTTTCCACTGCCTGTAAAATAGTACTTTTCTGTTTCTGTAAAGTGAACCCAAATGCTGTGTACCTACTGTCGTGCTCAGGAAGTAGGAAAGGCACTTGTAGCCTGATTTTTCAGGGATAGTGGAAGGAGCCCAAAGTTGCCTTTGACTTCAGTGGGCATTTTGGGTGCTCATTACTTCTGAAAATTGGGCTATTAGTGCCTAATCCTGCAAATCCTCTGTGCATGGAATCCCTGTTGAAGTGAAAGGGAGTTACACACAAAGAGAGCTTGCAGGATTAAGCACTTACGTTTCACACATATAAACCTCTGAATGGGTTTCTTCTATATTATGTGAATATAAGACCAATTTGACTTCACACTTTTTCTTCTCTTGTAGGAATTCTACATTCAGGGACTTCTGACATTTCTCAGGATGACATGAAAAGAATCAGCACATCCTCTAGAAAGCTGCAGGTTTAAAATTGAACTCAGGGTTTGTTAAACGATTGTTTTTCCCCACTGACTGCTAAATTACGTTAAATATACGTTAATATACCAATGTAAGAGAACACGTACTCTGAAATTCTTTTATTTTGGTCAATGGAAAGAAATCAGTCTTGATGTTCTGTATTTTTTGATACAGCTTACCTTTATTATTTAGTGCCATATCACAATGGCCCATTTCAGGAAACAGAAGGAGAAATGCACACAGCTGCATCTTTACATTGATAGTGTGCAAAGGAAAAAGTTTGTATGTTCCCCTATTAAAAATGTATACTGTAGTAGGGAAAATGAAGAAGAGTGTAACAATACAAAACTTACAACAGATATTTGGATGCAGATTTTTTTTTAAGTTGGTTGTATTTTTGCCAAGGTATGTTGTGTTTACATTTTGAAAGCACATGCCAAGCCTTCTCTTCAAGATGAGGCATATTCTTCTCTTAATTCCTTAGTTTTGCATTTTGATATTCTTGGGATTAACATCAGGTTTTATTCATTTTTATTTCAAAGCTAGTAAATCTATTACCCATCTATGAAAATTAGTATGAGTGTCTGTTACAAATATATACTTACTATGATTGGAAGGAGTATTTAATTATTGAACATATTACAATTGTGCTAATCTCTTATTAAAGTTTATTAATGTAGATAAATGTTATTTGTAAAGATATCTGTATTTTAAATTAATTTGCTTAAAATTTGAGAAAACTAATACAAATTTTAGGGGCTAGGTTACATTTGTTAATCCATGTCAGATTCTTGCACTCTTCAGATGTGAGGTGCAGGCTTAACAGGTTTTATTCAACTCTTCCAAATCATTTTATAAACCTATCACTATACATGGATTTAATATGAATTGTAAAGCCTAGGTAAAACTTTCTCCCTGCTATAACCTGTCTGGGTTTATTACCATTTCTATGTCTGGAAACAGTGAAAAATAATTCTGTTATTTTATTTCCAATGATTTTCCATTTGGCCCTTTCCCTTAATTTTTATGGAGACTTCTTCACCCTTGTGACCATAGTAACATAGGGAAACCTTTTGAAAATGTTTTATGTAGTCAGTCGTTTCTTTGGGGGCAGGGAGGATTGGCCATTCTAATGGTTTACTCTGGTATGTGTTATATATATATATATATATATATACACACACACATACATCACTTGTGGTGGCTTTCAAATGCCGCTCATTTCCTCTAAAATCTACTGGTATGTATAGCACATATCAAAACTTTTTATAGTAAAACAAAGCGTTCTTAAAAAAAAAATTAAAAGTATTTTGAGGAATAATGTGCAAAAACAATTGTTTGTAACATATATATTTTTATAACAAAAATGCTTTAGTTTAGCCTTGCTCTCTAGCAACAATTCTCTAGTCTTCTGTTCGGGAGACCTGGGCTTAATTTTTGAGGCTTGATTCTGCAATCTTTATTTAAGTGACTAGTACTTAGCTGCATGAGTAGTCCCACTCATGGGACTATTGGTATGAATAAGGGCTGTGGGATCAGACCTTGGTATTCTCCTTTTGCTCATTGGGCTGCTAATAGGCTGGGAATTCTGCACTCAGCTCTAGAATATGAGAGAGAAGGAATAATTTGTGCCATTCAACACTGAGGCTGCAGTCTGATTTTAAAAAGCATTGTTGATGGGGTCTGAAGGGAATTTGATTATCCTTTTCCATAAGACTAATGTGGGTAACATAGGGCATGAAGAAGGAGAGGTTAAGTAATAAAAAATGAGGTATCCTCAAGACTGTACATGGTATACAAAGGTCCAAGAAACATAAATTTTCAAGTATTCATGTTAATAGAAACAATGCTCTGTGGCTGCATAGAAAAATCAGTTAATTGATGGTGTTATACTATCCATCAAAAAGTAAAAGCTCAAGATCATTTTAAGAAACTTGTCGGTATTGCCTTTTTTAATCAGAACTGATTAGAGCCAGATTAAGAGAATACTGCTTCAAAATAACAGTATTAGATGTGACACTTCCATAATAATGTTCAGGGCTGGCCTTTGTTTAGAAAACACTCAGCAAACCAGAATTTAATACTCCCCTATATACATGGACCTCTTACTGCTACTCTTACTGCAGTATAGACTGTACATAGAGACTAAGATTTCTGAGGTGGAATGGATGGGCAGGAGGAACATAACAGAAGATGGCCTTTAGTCATGAATTTGGGACGGGTTTAGGCCTGGTTTCCAGGAGCATTTAGTTGCTTTATATTTGTGCACGTTAAAAATGAATACAATATTAAAATAAGAGAGAGCTTTGACAGGATCTATGGGCTGGTACTGGCACCATCACTGCATTGAACTGAAATTGAGATCAAAGAATGAAAGGGAGGGGAGAGGAAAAAAAGGTGGGAGAGATAAACTGACCTGGCTTTAGTTTGTGATTCACCAATGTAACTTAAAAAACTAAAACCTTGCTGAGATTCTTGCTCTGATGAGGGGATTTGGACAGTATTAGTTCACTGAGCATTGTATGCTGTAACAGTATATTCTAAAAGTCTTGAGACTGTTACTTCATTCAAGCATGTTAAACTTTGCTTCATTTCCTAAGTGAAAATTGTGTAATGAACTAAACCAGGACAGTATTTATAGTTTTCTCCTATTTCTGACAGCAGCCTTTTAATCTTTTTAATAACATATCTCTTTTAATCCCTTAAAACAGGAAAGAATATCGAATGTGTCCAGATTTAAATGTTTATATAACTTTTTGTGCAGTGGTTTCTCTTTCCCCATACTGTGGGATCTTGGTGGTAGGGCAGTTTTCTTGTCATTTGATTATAGTATTCTTGTTTGGAAATAAACATATGAAAATAATCCATTTATTTATCATTTCTGTTTCTTGTTGGTATATTGTATGTGACATTTAGGCACACTAAATACTGTAATGTTTGTTATGCTTTCATATTTCACTTAATCATTTTATTATTTGCAAATAATCTGAAGAATAGTAATTTTTTACAGATTTGAATTTGAGAACATAATTGTATTTGTTTTCTAGAATGAATAAAATCATACTAAATCTGTTGAAGTTTTATTTAACTTGTTCTCAGCTATTTATGAAATGCTATAAAATGTATTTGAGTTTGTGTAACAAAGCATGCTAAAGTTCTTCAAAAGGAATTCTTGAAATATTGTTATCTGATCAGCAGCCATTCTTGGTTAATTTGTGATTAATTAATCCAGTGATTTGTGGTTTACTTGGTTCTGCTTACTCAAGGCTGTGGACACCATTTCAGGGTAAGCCAACAGAAGGTATTTTACTTAAACATCACTTACTATTAACAGGAGCCACAGTTAACAGTAAAGTGCCTCTCGCCTTAGTCCATGTCACATGCTTCATCTGATTTTCTTTTTCAGAGGGAAGTGGCTTATATAAAACACTGTTCCCCTTACCTTTATAATTCCAGAAACTCAGCAGGAGAAATTCATAACACCCTGCTAGACAGAAACCATTTCAACATCTTTTTCACAATTCCTGCAAGTAGACTCTTATTAACGTGTGAACAGTCTGGAGCAATGGGGTTTATTCTGTTGTTTCAAAGCAAATTGACTAATTACCAGATTAATTTTTTTCTCACTCCCCTGAAAGCTCCTGCTGCTGACTGCTTCTAGAGCAGTGGTCATCAACTGGTCGATCACTGAGCTTCTGCCAGTCGATTGCAATATCCGGCCGCTAAAAATCCAGTGGCGCAGCAGGGGTAAGGCAGGCTCCAAGTCCCTGCAAGGGGGGAGCAGAGGCAGGGGTCTCCGCACGCCACTCCTGCCTGCAAGCACTGCCCCTGCAGCTCCCATTGGCTGGGAACAGCAGCCAATGAGAGCTGTGGGGGTGGTGCCTGCAGGGATGGGCAGCGTGCAGAGTCAGGTGTCCCCGCCAGGGGTCGCAGCACAGGGGCGTGCTGGCAGCTTCCGGGAGCAGTGTGGGGCCAGGACAGCCCTGCTGCCCAAGGTAAGTGCCACCTGCTGGGAGCTCACACCCCAGCCTTGAGCCCCCTCCCAGAGCCAGCACTCTGTACCCCCTCCTGCACCCCCGAACTCCTGCCCCAGACCTGAGCCCACACCCCAAACCTCCTCCTGCACCCCAGCCCAGAGCCCCCTCCTGCACCCAAAATCCCTCCCAGAGCTCACACCCCTCACTTCCTTCTGTACCCCAAGCCCCTGCCCCAGGCTCAGACTGGACCCCCCTCCCACACTCCAAACCCCTATGCCCCAGCCCAGTGAAAGTGAGTGAGGGTGGGGGAGAATGGAGTGAGCGGGGTTAGGCCTCGGGGAAGGGTAGATCCTGGATTGCACTTAAATTCGAAAAGTGATCTTGTGCTTAAAAAGGTTGGAGACCACTGTTCTAGAGACAGTTCAAATTCTGCCTGTGCTCAGCCAGCTTCTTTTAGCTTCAGCTTTTCACCAGATAAAATGCCCACAGTCTAGAGATTACTTTGGTAGCAGAATTCTGATACCAGAACTAGGATGTCTACATCTCACCAACTAGTCCAGCCCAATATTAATGCACCCTTCCTTCTGAGTACAAACTATAGAGTGTTACATAGCAGCAAGGCCTGCAGCAGCAAACAGGGCCACTCCAGGTAAGGTGCCTCTTCTTAAGGCTACAGAAATAGAAATATGTTTAGTTCAGAAATCAGATTTTTCAAGCCTTAAAAGATGTTTTTTTAAGAAAGCATTCATGAATGCATGGGGAAGGCTTTTAAATAAGGGTTTAAATGAGGATTAATAACATGATATGGAAAGGGAAGCTATCTCAATATGAATAAAGCTGTTTAACAAAAATATATACTTGATATCTAGCACCCCAAGGGCTTAAGGAATTACATACATTGTCTCATTGATCCATACTGGAGGATCTGAGGAAGTGAAATCTTTAATTCACAACTACTTTAATTACTCAAGAAGTAGGGCATTTGGGGAAAGTATATTCTTATATATTAAACAAATACTTTTATATGAACCTCTACAACTTCTAGTTGATCCCCAGCAGAGGCATTGTATAAAAGGGAAGTGAATGAATTAGTAACTCTGGTGGTGGCAAGAAGTGTGATTGCCTGAACATGTGGAAAAGGATTCCTGCACCAGAAAGTTCAAGAAGGGTTTTGAGTTTGGGACATTTTTCAAAAGGAGAAAAAATTACTATCTGGATGAGTTGAGGAAAATATTTTTTTTTCTTATGTCTTGGCACATGTAATTTGGGTTGGATTGGGTTTAAAAACATGTATCCTTAGCTGACACATTAAGTCAATGTCAGTAAGGCTTTTTTAATACAGTTGTGTCTTTCAGAAGGTAAAAAAGTAGAAGTCTGTGAATGTATACACTTATTTATAAATAGTCAAATAGAAAAATTGAAAATAAAGTTATGATATATAATGTTCCAATCTAAAGACCTCCATTGCTAGCTGGTCTTCCTTTCTACCATATGGTAATTTGCTTCCACCTTGGCTCTCTGTGGTTTGAGGTCTGATCTTAACTCCCACTGAACTCCATGAAACAATTTTGCCACTGATTTCAGTAAGATCAGATTGGTCCTGAAATTAGTCTGAGGTTTCCTACCTCTGCCTTCTCATATGGGAATGGTTAGCAACCGACACGCCCAGTGTTTTTTCTTTTGAGGTGTGAGGAAGAACAAATATGTTCACAACAGATGAAATATATCCCCCTGCAATTATAGATAGAACACAAAGAAAGCAACAATCTTCTTCGTTGTCAGAGTTGCCCCACAACTTGGCTGCTGAGCAATGTGCTTCTCAAGTTTACCTTTCTCTCAGCTCTTCTGCTCCCAGGTGCAGGACAATCAGATCCAGAGAAAATGGCAAAATAAACAGAACAGAGAATAAATAGCAGCAGTGAAGGTTTTCTGGAGTTGCTGTTCATGTGATTTTTCTTTTTATTGTTATATTGTACTTTTGCAGTTGTTTCTGTCAAACTTAATTTAAATTGGCAAAGCCAGTTTTTGCTTGAACAAAGCAGTAAATAAACTTGCACCTTTTTATATTTTTCTGTTGTAAAAAAGGCTATCTTAATTTGGCATGTGCATAGTTCTTCATGAAGCCTTTTGGGGAGAAGATTGTCTGAATATGGATTAGCTGATCTACTTATACTACTGTAACATTTTAAATGTGGCTATTCCAATGGGCACCTGCCCTTAGACAAGATTGTGGCTATTTCCTATGCACTTTAATACTTTCTTTTTAAATGTATGGCCAGAAAAGTGACTATGTAAAAAACATAATTACTCCTTACTCAGCAGAACTGCTTTCTTGACTCATCTTTTGATGTGGCAATAGGGACTCCACAGTAAAGGTTGAAGCTAGTTTCTTGTTATGACTGATTTTTAAACACTCCCTGTCTTTCCCCAAAAGAAAACAATATCCCAGAAGGTAGAGCTGGGGCAGAATTGGGGATGTGGGAGGAGCTGTGGCTAGAGCCGGAGCTGGTCTGGGGCAGACAGGAAATGAAGGCAGAGCTGGGCTACAGGCAGAGCAGAGGGTGGAGTGGAGCTGCAGCTGGGGGCGGAGCCAGCCTGGGGGTGAAGCAGGGACTGGAATAGAGCTGCAGCTGGGTTCAGAGCTGGTCTGGGGGCAGAGAGAGAATGAGGGCAGAGCCCAGCAGGGGTCAGAGCGGGTCTGGGGGTGGGGAGGGAATGGGGGCAGAGAAGGGAGCAGAGTGGAGCTGCAGCTGGGGCGTGGAACTGGTCTGGGGGCAGAGAGGGAATGAGAGGAGAGCCCGGTGGGAGGAATGGAGCTGTGGCTTGGGTCGGAGCTGGTCTGTGGGTCCGGAGGGAATGAGGGCAGAGCTGGGCCTAGAAGCAGAGCTGGTCTGGGGGCAGAGCAGGGCTGGAAGTGTGGTACTACCCTCCCCACCCCTGTGGGGGCTGCTCCAGCCCTGCCCGGGGGTGGGTGCACATCACAGTTTGGGAACCACTGATTTATGTGGTGCAGCATGTCTTTCTACCCCTCAGAGATCTAGAGCATTGGATAGCCTCGGTGTACTACTGGCCCATCATCACGTGGACAAGATGGTTCAAGTACCAGCTCAGGTTTTGTCCTTCCGGGACTGGTGGACAGAACTTATGAATATTTGTGAGGGAGTTCATTCACAGGTCACCGGGAGAGATCTCTTTGACTGGATGTGTCTAGGTCCATTTTCCAGCAGTAGGGAACTTCCTAGATGGATCTGTTTGCAACAAGAGAAAACAAAAATGTCATATTTTTGTTCTTGCATGGGTCACTGCCTGGGTTCATGGACATGCTTTCCTCTTTCCCTGGTCAAAAGCCTGTTTATGCCTTCCCTCTGATATAAAATTATTCTGCTTAACTGCCAGGGGGCAAATTTGTCATGTACACATGGGAGAAAGAAGAAGGGAAAACATCAGCTATAGGTTGTCTTAACTCAGGAAGTTCCTTCAAGAGGAAATGTAGCCAAACTCCAAACCTGGAGACAATGGACTTTTCTGTGCCTGCGTCCTGTAGATAAACTGCTTGGTTTGCAAAATAAGCAAGGAGGAGGGGGTAAGTAGATGAACAATAAGGGGTCATAAGAGGGACAGATACATGTAGCTTGCTAATTATGTATGGTAATGATGGCAAATTTTGGCCAATCATAGAGCGATAGATTATCATAAGCAACTGCATATAATGCTTTGGTGTAAGTGTTTTCTTTGTTCTTGCTGACTTATGAGCTCGAACCCAATTGCAATTGAAATAAATGGATGGCCCCTCCCGGGGCTCCTTGGTTGGCTAGCTGTGTCCGTCTCTCCTTATTCCTCAGCTGGAACGGACAGAAATTTCTATGACACCTCCAGTTCCGTTCCTGCCTATAGTCTTATCCAAAGTCAAGCAAGATTCCATTCACCTTATTCTAATAGTTCCAGCATGGCCACATCAGTTTTGATTTTTGACTCTATTAGCTCTATCGGTCAGATCTGTTGTTGCTCTGAAGAGATATGGATGTGATCTCCCAGGACTATGTCCTCCTCCTTCATCCCAACTCTCTGGTCCTCTACCTGACAGCGTGGTTTCTTTACCATGTGGGCTGTACATGCAGCTGCCTATGTATTACATGGGCTGCATCCACACTCATATATATATATATAGTACCTGTATGGCCCTGAGGATGTCACGTGGGCTGTAGCTGTGTGCCGATTGGGCTGCGGATTGAGAACCACTGACCTACCTTATTAAATGGAAGAGATTCTCTATCTGATCCATACAAATAGGCATCCTCCCAGGTCAAGCTCTGATTTGCCATATCTCAGACTATCTTATGTTTCTGAAACAGCAAAGATTAGTTGTTAGTTCTCCTGTGAGTGCTTCACTTCCGGTGTTGGTGTGTCCCTGCACCTTTTGATCAGAGAATTTCAGCAGCAGTGCTCATTTGGGTGCATGTGCTCTCCCTGTCTTGCGCTGTTGTCAGCGCCTATCTAGTGCCACATGACCAGTCCCCGCTCAGTTCCTTCTCAGCTGTCCTCTGCCTGAGACAGAGCTCCCAGCAGTGTTAAGATTGATAGCTATACTTAGTGTTAAAATAGTTGAGTAGTCTTTAGTACCCTAGTTATATTTACTTATCCTTTTCTCCCCATTTATTTATTTATTTTTAATTTCCTTCCCCCTTTTTACTCCAAGTTTGAATACCCCTTAGCTTAGTTAGTGTTCATCGTTAGGGTTGAACCGCCATGACTTGAGCCATGCCCAGTTCACTGGGCTTCAAGTGTTGCCTTTCCTGCCGAGAGGTGATCCCAGTCTTGGACAGGCACTCTGTGTCTGGTGTCTAGGAGAGACACGCGTTCCTCAAAAATCCTCTCACTGCACCAATCTGAAGGACAGAGATCTGTGTCTCAAACTTCGGTTAATGGAGACATCTATGCACCCAGCATCTGATCCAGGTCTGCAGACACCCGCTCCAATCCCCTTGGACAATGTTCCCCAGTGACTTCACCTGCCTCACAGCAGAAGGCTCACTCCTCCAAAAAGGTAGTGAGGAAAAGGGCTTTGACTTCTCCTCTCATGGAGCCAACAAAAAGAACAGTCTCCAGCCTGCTCCTCATCCTCAGTACCAACCACACCACAGCTAAGTACTTATGAGGCATAAGGATCTTCCAGTACCACACGTGCCATGAAAGCCAGTGACCCTAAGTGGGCAGGCTCGGAGTCGAGGAGCAAACAGAAACTTACCTCCTCCACTACAACACCAACAAAGCTTCCTAAAGATGCGACACTGAAAAGCTCCATGTACGTTAAGGCATCACCTCCTGTCCCAATAGCACAAAGCACTCCAATGCCAGCAGCAACAACCGCGACTACAACAGCACCATTGGCACCGACCACCTTGGTACTGAAACCAGCGGCACTGCACCTTTTCCTACATCGTGCGGACCTTCATGTCTCATCTATGCTGAAATCACCTCTTTGGCACCAATGTTTCTCTAGCATGCACGGCACCATGTCAGCCCACTTCACCTCTGCCCCCACCATTCTCTTTCAAGGAAGAAGATAGTGAAGAGAAGGGTGGGTGCCTTCTCATATCACCACTCCTCTCCCATTCAATCTACTGCAGTGCTGGGTCCACCTGTACAGCCTAAAACTCACCACAGGGCTGACACCCAGACCTGGTATGGCCCTCCCATGGATGCCACCGCCTATACCATTCCCCACTCAGTGGCCCTACTGGGACCCCTGGGGTGGGGGGCATACAGGCAACAGTACCCCAGGCCCTTGAGCCTATACAGGGAGAGATTTAGATCTCCCCCACCACACTCAGTTACTGTACCTTCAGAGCCCCCTTAGGAAAGCTTTGAAGAACAGGAGGAGGCCCGGGAACAGGACATAACACTAACAACCAACATTTCTTCCTTGTCCCCAAAGGAGGCTATAATGCCTGATCCCCTGGAGATCCCTCTAGAGGAGGTCCCAGAGTCCAAGCACAAATTAATGAACATTCTCCATACATCCTCATCAAAAATTGCACTTCCCATAAATGACACACTCATGGAGCTGGACAAAAACATATGGCAGACTCCGGCTATGATATCGTCCCCCTGCAAGAGAGTGGATAAAAAGAAATACGTTCCCTCTAAAGGACTAGATTTCTTATTTTCTCACTCCACACTGAACTTTCCAGTAGTCAGTGCTGTCAACCAACGAGGCAGACAACGAGCCAGATCCGCCCTATATGACAAAGGGTGGAAATGTCTGGACCTCTTTGGCCACAAGGCCTATTCATCTGCCATTCTTCAGTTCCAGATTGCCAGTCACACTGCCCTAATGGTTAAATACGAACATACAAATTTATTCAAAACTTGCTGAATTTATTGACATCATACCGGAGGACAAAAGAGACCAATTTAAGTCCATTTCGAAAGGCTAACTCCTATCCAGAACCACCTTACCGGCATCTCTAGATGCGACTGATACAGCGGCACATTCCATGGCTACTGCCATAGTTATGCTCTGGGCTTTGTGGCTCCACCTGTCTGGCATCCCATGGGAGGTACAATCCATCATGGAGGACCTTCCCTTGGATGGCCAGAAGTTTTTCATGGCAAAAAATGAGTCCCTTCATACCCTGAAAGACTTGAGGGTGACGCTTCGCTCCCTGGTTACATTCACACCTGCACAAAAAAGAAAACAGGGTAAAAACTATCCCACTCAGTGTGCTAGGTCTGTCCTGTACGCCTCACAACAGAGGTACTACAACACGCAAAGGCAAAGACAGAGGCCTCTAAAGCATCACCAATCTCCAACTCAATCAACGTCCCGCCAGCCCTCTGCAAAACAATTTTGAGGGTTTGCTTGAGGGCCTGAAAGACCTCCCCTATTCTTCAGTGCTGACACCATCACTAACCATCCCCTATCTTGGATACCGCTTGAACCCTTTCAGCACAGCGTAGCAATCCATCACCATGGACAAATAGGTTCTAAAAATAATCCATTCTGGTTATATGCCATTCATCTTCATTCCACGCATCCACCCTCCCTTTTCAGGGACCCCTCTCATGAACACCTTCTACAGAAAGAAGTAAACCACCTCCTACATCTGGGTGCCGTGGAACGGGTACCATCATAACACAGAGGGAAGGGTTTTTACTCCCACTACTACTTAACCCAGAAAAAGAACGGCGGATGGAGGCCTACTTTTTAGACCTCTGAAAACTCAATAAATTCATAAGGTTCCAATGGTTCACGACGGTCACGCTAGCAACAGTAATACCAGCTCAGGAACAGGGGGACTGGTTTTTAGCCCTTGACCTCCAAGATGCCTATTTTCATGGATTCACGCACACAGGAGGTTCCTCAGATTTAATCTAGGGACAGAACACTATCCGTACAAGGTTCTGCCATTTTGCCTTTCAACAGCACTTCGGGTGTTTTCCAAAGTGCTCATGGTAGTGGCCGCACACCTCCAGAAACATGGAGTGACAATTTTTCCCTGTCTGGACTATTGCCTATTAAAAGCACCACCCAGGCAGATGCCATAGACATTACACACACAAAAATCACCCTCCTCTCGTGGCTGGGACTACAACTTAGCGTACAAAACAGCACTGACATCTGTGCAGAAACTGGACTTCATCAGGCCGCATCTCAACACTCTAGAGGCCACAGTGTCACTATCACCAATTAGATTTCTCATCATAGTCAATCTGATCTCCACCATACTGAACAGCCCACAGATATCAGCACAGACCTGCCTCCAGTTATTAGGCCATATGGTGGCAATCACATTCATGGTACATTCGTGTCTTCACATGTGCTGCCTTCAGGGTTGGTTAAGAACCATCTACATACCACACAAACACAGCCAAAACAGAGGCCTCGTAATGCCAGTCAAAATCAAAGACTCACTAAACTGGTGGATGCAACCCAATAATGTGTGTGTGGGAGTCACTTTCAAACAAACTTCACCTTCAATGATTCTCACAACCGATGCCTCTTTGATAGGCTGGGGAGCTCACCTACAATATCAAACAATTCAGGGCAGGTGGTCTCCTACCGAGACACTGTTACACATAAATAGATCATCCATAGCCCTCTTTGTGACCTCCCAGAATTGCAAATATCTGCAATTCTGCTCGAGAACAGGGTTAGGCCCCCCTTCCTTGGATGACACCTTTCTCTTCAAATGGGACGTGCCTCTGCTATCAAAGGTAATACATAAAATAAGAGCCGACAAGGCCAAAATCATCCTGATAGCTCCCACATGGCCCAGAGAAACTTGGTACCCCGTACCTGTTGAGGATGACTGTATGTGCACCGTGTACTCTTCCACTCTTGCTGAATCTTCTCTTGCAAGATGCCGGATAGATTTACCTTCAAAACCTACAGAGACTTCACCTGAGAGCATGGCTCCTACTAGGCTCCAGCACGACAAACAGATCTGATCAGAACAGGTGAAAGACTTATTAGTAAACAGTAGGACAACCACATGGAATACTCACCTGTATAAATGGAAGAGATTCACCATCTGGTGCCAAAGCAAATGAGCACGACCTGTTATTGCCCCCTTTCCAATGATTTTAGAATACACGCTAGAACTAATGAACTGCAGCCTATCCCTTAGCTCACTTAGAGAACACCTCGCCGCTATTACTGCTTTTCACCACAAGGCAGATGGGATATTGATATTGGCCCATCCTACTGCCAAATATTTTCTTAGGGGCATCAGAAATGTCTACCCTGAAATACCTACCACACCTTGGGACGTGAACTTGGTACTATGCTGCCCTACTGGGGCCCCATTGAACCATTAGCAACATGCTCTGTCAATGAAGATGGCCTTCTTAGTCGCAATCACATCTGCCCAACGAGTGGGAGAGTTAGGAGTCCTCAGGGCGCACCCACCATGTAACATCTTTTTCAAAAATAAGGTCACCATAAGACCTCACCCTAAATTTTTACCTAAAGTACCCTCCTATTTCCACTTGAACCAACCAAACCATCTTCCCTTGTTCTTCCCCAAACCTCATAGAAGCAAACGGGACTCAATATTTACACACCCTGGATGACAGACACACACTAGCATTCTACCTTGAGAGAACCAAGACCTTCAGAAAGTCACTGAGATGTTTTATTTCAACTTCAGAATGATCTAAAGGTTCTGCCATTTCCAAGCAGAGACTGTCCAAATGGATTTCTGGATGCATTCACCTTTGCTACCAACAGCATGACATACAACCCCCACTAGGGATCCAAACCCACTCTACCAGGTTATTATCAACCTCAGTAGCTTTTCTCAACAACGTACCGATCATAGACATTTGTAAAGCGGCCACTTGAGTGTCCGCACACACATTTACAAAACACTATATGATAGATCAGAGCTCAAGATGGGACGCATGGGTAGGACTTCATGTACTATCGTCAATTACCCACGCAACTCCAAAGCCCCTTCAGTCCACCAGGGGGCACTGCTCCTCAGTCACCCGAAGTGGAGCACCCACAGGGACAATCCTCGAAGAAAAGAAGGTTATTCACCCTGTGAAGTAACTGAGGTTCTTTGAGATGGTGTCCCCGTGGGTACTCCACTACCCACCCTCTTTCCCTCTATTTCAGAGTTCAATCGATGGATTTGGTGGTGGTGAAGGAACTGGGGGGCGGGAGGGTCTGGTCGCATGGCGCTAGATAGGCACTGACAATGGCGCGAGATGGGAAGAGCACATGCACGACCTAGACGAGCACTGCTGCTGAAATTCTCTGATCAAAGGTGCAGGGACACACCAACATCTGAAGTGGAGCATCTCGGGGACACCATCTTGAAGAACCTCAGTTACTGCACAGGGTGAGTAACCTTCTTTTCCATCAGATTCCATTTGATGGCTGTCTCAGCTTTCCACCCTCCCATGGATAACCAATTAATTTTTTCAAACCCTATGTCCATCAGATTTCTAAAGGTTTTGCTTAGATTTTACCCATGGGTTCATAACCCGGTTCCACAGTGGAGCTTAACTTTAGTGCTAACAAAGTGGATGCGTCCTCCCTGTGAGTCCCTAGTGACTTGTTCTCTGTTACACCTGTCTATGAAAGTGGCTTTTCTGGTTGCTGTTCCTCAGCCAGGAGAGTAGGGGAGCTGTGAACTTTAATATCCGGGCCTTTCTATACACTTTTCTTTAGGGACAATATTTTCCTTTGACCTTGCCCTAAATTCCTATCTAAAGTTGTTTCCAAATTTCACATGAATCAAGTGATTTTATTTACCGAATATCTTTACAAAGCCCTTTTTGAGTAAAAGGGAAGAAAAGCACCATACTCTAGATATTAGAAGAGTTTTGGCTTTTTACCTGGATTGGACTAGACCATTCAGGTCTTTGTCTCAATTCTTGGTCACAGTTTCAGGCAAAGTAAAGGGACACCCAGTATCCACCTAGAGCAGGGCTACATCTGGGTATGGAAATTGTATGGCGGGCCATTAAAGCTCATGAAATTGGAGGTTGAGGTGTGGGAGGGGATGAGGGCTCTGGGGTGGGGCTAGAAATGAGTTTCCCAGCCAATGGCTGCTGCGGGGGCGGCACTTGAGATGGGGGGAGCGTGCAGAGCCCCCTGGCTGTCCCTACACATAGGAGCCGGAGTGGGGACATGCCGCTGCTTCCAGGAGCCACGTGGAGCAAGCTCTGGACCCCGGTCCCCGGCAGGAGCTCAAGGGCCGGTTAAAACGTCTGAAGGGCTGGATGTGGCTGCCGGGCCATAGTTTGACCATCCCTGACCTAGAGGATGTCTGCCTGGATTTCCAGCTGTATTCGCTTATGCTACTGATTGGCTGATGTTACATCTCTGAGTAAAGTGGTCGCTCACCCAACCAGGCTCCAGGCGGCTTCCGTGGCCTTTCTGGATATTTATAGGGCAGCAACCTGGCCATAGCACTATATATTTGCCTCTCACAATGCCATCTCTCATCCATCTAGAAACAATGCCAGATTCAGAAGAGTGCTCCTACAATTCATGTTAAAGTTGGACTCTGAGCCCAACTCCAGTTCAAACTGCTTGTGAGTCACTTACAGTGGAATGGATGTGCAATCACTCAAAGAATAAAAACATTATCTATCTTTCTGTAAGTGCTGTTCTTTGAAATATGTTGCACATGTCCATTTCACGACCCACCCTCCTTCCTCTCTCTATCACAGTCTTTCTGGTAGGAAGAAACTGAGATGGCTCAGGACAGGGGTCCTTTATTCTTGTCTGCCGTGGCATTTGGTACCAGAGGCCATTCATGCTGAGTTGAGAGAAAAATCTCTGACGTGCACACACTTATATTTGAATGACACATGCAACACATCTTGAAGAACAACAGTTATGGAAAGGTAACTCTTTTTTCAGTTAGATCAAGGCTGAGCAAGTTCCAGATTCAAGGACCTATCACTGAGCATATTTTAACTTCGTCCCCCTCCCATTTAAACTGAGGG